AGAGTATGGTTTGAAGACAGTCCTGGGAGGGCTGTTAGTGCAGTAGGAGAGACCCCCCTTCTGAGTATTAAACTTGGCCTATGAATAATGAAAGACTCAAACAAAATCTCAAGAGTCTTAATGCTTGCTCCTCCTGCACTGTCAGTGTGGGACAAATCACTCGACCTCTCCATTTCGGTCTCCCCAGTGGTAAGAGAAGGTCGATGATAACAGCCTTTTAAAACTTGTAGGCTGGAAGGTTTCTGGAAAATGTGGCTATGAACAAGTCTTGGGTAGAACTGTATGTTGGAAGGGACAAAAGGCACTCCACTCAGTGGATTTGGAGCCCATCACTCAGGAAAATAGAGAGCCTACCTGTTCTTATTTCGCAGGCACATTGGGAGAAATACTGCTGCCCTCCCAGTTCTTTGCAATAGTGACAAGGGGAGGAGAGAGCCATGCCCCTGCAGATGGGTAGGGAACTCCTTTTCTTAAGCAAGTCTACCCTGATTGCTCTGCTCCTTAAAACTTACGGAATTTCTAAATGTCAAAACTTTATAAAGCCTCAAATCAAAACAGGAATTATTTTCAGTGAAGTGTCCTCAAAGTCAGGAGATCTTTCACACCAAGCAGAATCTAAGCAGACAAAATGATCTATATAAGCTAGGAAAATCTGAGACAGATTCTGCAGGAATTCAGTTCTAACAACTATTTCTCACTTCTACTTTTGAAAAATAAAAGAGAACCCTCTGGGTTTATTAACCGGTGGAGCAGAGACCTCTGTTCCACTTACAGAGTATGAAAGGTAGCTACAAATGTCAGCATGAACTCAGCAACACCCGCTTAAAATACTGCTACTACTGCAGACAATAGAGGATGACACTATAAAGCCTGTACTTACTCACTGGCTTCATTACCCAGTGGGTTCAAACCAAGATCATCAGGGCAAAAAAATTTTTAACTTCTGGCTCCAAGTACTTAATCAGGTCACATTGTCCCTTTAAGATTTAATGAGTCATCCTGCTAGCTATTTAGGTGCACAATCACCCACAACCCATTAGCCAACACCTTCAAGAGGCAAAAGGAGGGACAAGTCTAAACAGAATTGGGAAGGCATTTACCCACACAGTCTTACCTCCTCCCTCATTAATGGCTCTTCCTTCTCCTCCCTCTGTTTTCAAGGAGAGCATTAGACAAGTACCCACTAGGGAGGGGGCTAGCCATCGCTGCATCCCCCGTGAGACCAGGGCCCCTTCCAGGAGAGCGTGTCGCCTGCACAGACACACGCGCATACACACACTTGGGGTCTCAGTCGACTCCCACACTCTGCAGTCCCTCTGCCAGCTGGCCATGACTCCCCTGGCCCTCCTTTTATTCCCCTACTGTCCCATGCTTTTTGCTCTGCAGATCACCCCCATCCCTCCTTTTAGTTTCTCCCTTAAACATCCCATAAAAAGCTCTCCCCTCACATGCATGGATAATATGTCCCATACCTTTAGTAATTCCCCCTCCACCCCCACCTGTAAGGTGATCTGGAGAGCTGCTCCCATTCGCTCATTGGGTAGACGTCGCCCTGGGACCACCAGGATGATCGGTCTCCTGGGACAGACCCTAGGAGGACCCAGGGCAGGGGGTGATTTGGGTTCCCCCACCTACTGTTGTGCTGCTGTGCTCCCTCATGCATGTGGTGATGAGATTTTTATCGCATAACCTACCGCTGAGTGCTATCAACCTCGGAACAAGAGTCAGGCCTTCGCCCCCTGCCCACACCAGGCGTGCATGTGTCGTTGGGTGCTCCTGGTGTCCAGCCACAGCACGTGGATTTACAAACCGTTCTCGGTACTACGTACATTGGTCAACACCACTGCATGAGCACACAGGCTATACCAGATTTGTTCACATCGCAAACTTCTTCAGGGTATAATCACGTTGAAGCTTCTCTCTCTCTCTTTCTCTCCCCCTCTCAGGAACATTTTGCCGAAAAAGATTCTATGAATCCTGGTGAACTGTGGTACTCTACCATCAGCCACAATGTAAAAGATGAAGCCTCTGTGATTAACACCAATAATCAGTCAGAATACGCACTTATCAACGTGCCCAAGAAGAAAAATATTGACAGCGCTGTAGAGCACAGTGAATATGATTATGTCCTGATAACTTAGAAAGGGACACTTTCTGCTCCTGAGGCGCACTTTTACTTGAATGTTTAAGCCAGCAGTATGCAACCTTACTAACCATCCCACCTCTGCTGTCAGGTCTTCAAACAAACATCTCTCTCATGTTACCGAGCTTACTCATTAGGACACATCTGCCAGCCATTTCCAATGAGACAAATCTGTCCATGAAAAGGTGATCACAGAAGGAGACATGGACAGGGTACAGGATTTGACAATTAAACCAAGAGGAATCAGTAGCAACTGCCATTGTGAGACAATGTTTCTCTATAGAAAATTAGGTGCTTCATTACTAGAAGCAACTGAGGCTGAACATTTTTCTAGACTTTTACAGTACTTTTTTTAAAAAAAGGGGTCTTACAGAACTACTGATAGAAATCTCTTAAAATGCAATAACACCACCCCTTGTTGGGTTTTTTTGTTTGTTTGGGGCTGGGGGGGATGTTTTGTTTTTTAAATGAAAACATAGATCCTGTGTTAGGTGCACTTACCCTTTTCCAAAGTTTCTCTGGCCTACTTGATATATACCACTATACAACATATAATTTCACTAAATAACTTATTTCTCATATTGCCCCACCCCACCCCCACTTGCTCATTTTGCCCCCCCCCCCCCGCTTTAACGTGATACTACTTATCTTAGAGTGAAGTCTTGATGAAGTTGGAATTAAATAAAAAAAGCAACAAACTGCATGCAAAACAAAAATTCCAGCCTCTTAGAAGACCATGAAACCTGACTCTGCACAGGTGGTAACTGCACACCTCTCAGTAGAAGATTCCCAGGTGTTGCCTCCATGACACAAAGCTTCCAGCTCACTCCTGCTGGAGTCTCAGGTTTGGCTCTCTGCAATGCCAGAACATAACCTCCCCATAGCCCACCACCCCTCCGCAAGCAGCATTTCTGCACATGCGCGTAGGACTGAAATCAGTTATTCAACTGTTCACCAGAGCTCATAAAGTGATTATGTGCCTGTGTTCTTGCTTAAGCATGGTTTTTTGCTCCTTCCATTTTTGTAATAAAACAATTTGGAAGAAAATGGTGGACAGTTTTCCTCTTTTTAAATCTTTCTTTGCATGTGATTGCTGGTTGTAGCCCTGGCTTTACGGCGTAGCACCTTTGCGATTCCCACCTGCCGTTCTGGTGCCAGGGGCAGTCCCGAGGGTGAATGGTTGCATGTAGCAGTGGACAGACACACAGCTAGCATGGTGCAGGCAGCGCTCTGCAGGTACCACTGCAGTGACAGGCAGCTGAATCTGCCATGTAAACTACTAATTTGGTCCAGGCTGTTTCCCAATCTCAGCTAAAACTCAAGCAACAACAAATACAAGTTCGAGTGTATGGCTCTGTCAGACAGATGCTTCATACAGCTCTCAGCATTTAGAATTCTGATGGTTATTTTCCAACTCAAACAGCTGAAGGACTGGAGCTACTAAAGAATGAAAACCATCACTTTAACAGTAAAAATAAATAATTTAATGCGTTGTAAAATTGTCAGATTACTCCTTAAATAAACTAGTAATAGTAGACAAAAAGAAACACAATTTCCCGTAAGATATTTCTCACAATACAAAAGGTTTCTTAAAATAAACTTCTCTATCCAACAGTACTAACATTTACACTGGTTATAGGCAAATGACAAGAAACTATACTTCACTAACATGGTAGTGAATCCATTCTATTCTGTGTAAAGTGTCATGCTTAATTTTTATTTTTCATGTTATAGCCAGTTACTGGCTATAACTCTCATGCCACGCTGGCTTACATGGTCTGCTTCAGTACCTTCCTCTTGGCATTGGTCCATCTCATCTGATCTCTTGTCCACAAGAACAACTATTTGCTGCCTTATTAAGGCAAATATCTTGCATCTATTCATTTTTATCCCCACTGCTGAGACAGGGACTATAATTAAGGGTATAAACTAGTTTCTCTTTGAATTTACAAATGTAAATTTGTCTATTCACTAGTACCAGTGGCTAATTATTAAAGCATGCAGCTAATTTGACCCTTGAAAGATTCCTGTGGCATTCAGATGTGCTAGTGAACAAGATGTGTTTCTTCCCAATGTTTCTTCCTTCATTTCTATTTCAGAAGAGAAAAATAAAGCGGATACCACCTTATCCAGGAAGACTGTAGGATGAACAAGGGAATGATGAGAGTTGAAGCTCACTTAAGAAGCTAGTGCAAAGGTCTTGCATGTGATTAAAGAAAATAGAGAGGATATTTAAGTTTTCAGTCTGTTTTATGAAGAAAGAACAACGGGGAAACATGGCATATAAAGTTAGCAGGAAAAAAGTAACAGACATGAGCATGGGTGGAAGTGAGCATTAAGGATGAAGCTGTGCAGGTCATTTTGGATAAGCCAAGAGAAGAAGGAAGGAGCCATGTGCAAGACTGCTTTTAAAGCTTTTGCAGGGAATCCAGATTTAATCATAAGGCAAGACAAAGGAGATGTTTCAAAGTCAACAGAGCATGCATCAGACAAGACATATGATTTGCACAAGAGTGAAATGGGTTACTGAGTTATCAGGACAACAATAAAGGAGGTAGCAGCAGTGTTACAGGAGTACAACACTGTAAAAAATATACCACATTTTCCATTTACAATATTGCATCACAGAGAGTATTTACAGGACAACATCTTTAGAAGTTTTTCTACCTAATGAATAGCTCCCTACCCCGAGACTACTAATAGATAGGAGAAGCCCATCTGTTCTAGGTGATGAGGAAGATGAGGAGTCTTTTCCATCATTTCTCTGAAAGTTAAAACAGTACATTATTAACATCAAAACGAATCTTTAGTTAGATATTTCAGCATATTCTTTCCTGTCCCTTTTACACTGCATTTTCTATGAATCCTGTCAATATACAAGGAAGAAAATTATACTGATAATTGGAACCCATGACTTGTTTGTTCTCTGGTCCCTTGATAAGAGTACCAAGAAAAATCAATACAAGTTAATCTCAGATCTTACTTTTATACACTGTATGGTGGTGTGTTAGCCTAGAATTATTCTGAAAGCACGTAGGTGTGGCTCAGTAAGTTGGGGGTGAGGAGAAGCAGCTCCAGGCATTGTTTTCAGTAAAACTGCAAAGCTCATAGGACTTTTATACTGATATTTCAATCAAGACATGTCTAAATGCATTAGAATCACTACCTAGTCACTGGTAGTCATCGGAATCACTACCTAGAAAACCTGGAAGAATGAACATTTGCATTCCTTTAAAAGGTATCTCTGTGCACAATAAATTTTCCCCATAAACTCTGAAAAGACAAAAATCAGGAGGCTTTTTCCTCCTTGACTGTGAAAAAAATCAGTGGTTCACTCCCAAATTACTTGTCCTGTTTTACTCAGATTAAAATTTGTTTTATAAGCATTCAAATATGAATATACAATATTTTTAATTATTTGGCTTCCCATTATGGTACACACACATATGAGGAGATTTTCTTTGTACACATAAAATGCAAGAGGAGATCTGAAATGTTTGGTTGGAGTCTGTAGCTAACCAGTCTCATCACTACTCCCTTTTTCATCAGAGGGCCAAACAGTGACTCCCAGGTTATAAGCTAAGCATAGCAAGACTTTCTTGAAAACTGAATATTTTACAATTTTCTCAATACTGTTGTGCCAAATATATTTACTAACAAATCTCAACATCTTTCCAGAAAGACTTCCCTCCTTTCAACTAAATTCTTCTGCTTTTTGTACAGAAACAGTCTTTTTAATGTACAGTACTTACAGTTAACGTGAGAGAAGTTGGGTCAAGCTTTAACCTGTTACATTCAGATGTCCCAGGATTAAAAGCATCATCTTCATCATAAATATTTTGACGTAAAACGTTCTTTATAAAATCTGGGTTCATTGTGTTTTCCATAAATCCCTCTGTTGATGGTGGTACAGAAAACTCTAGCTGATAAAATACAGTGGAGCTTTCATTACTGAAAAACAAAGTCAAGTATGAATGCCTTCAAGTCCCTACTGGATCTTTTCTTTTTTGAGAAGACTGACTTTTCATATAAATGTTGGCATGGACTTTTTTTTTTTAAACTTGTTCTAAAGGAAAGCATTATAAAAGAAAACTGCCAAAGATTCCAGTTTCCTCCTCCCCCTCCCTTCTCAGAGCAGCTCTTGACATTAACAGAAACTGGGCACATACCTGAAAGCCAACCTGAGACATGCTTTCAAATACACAAAGGGCAGTTGGACATGTGCCCTAATGGAGTGAGGTTTTCAGCACTTGTGCTTCACAAGTACGTAACGATAAGAGGTGCTGAGATATCTCATGCACAGATTAGCTGAGAACCTGCAGAAAGATTTGCTCTCCCACTAGCAGTACCTGGGGCCACACAGCTGTGCTCCTAACTCAGCTCTGGAGTGGATTACGCAAACCACCAAACTGGAGTCCATCTCTGGAGATTTTATTGTTTGTGGTCTACCAAATCCACTGACTATGATTTGACAGTTATATTTTGTACTTACAGAATTTAAACCATCAAGAGTAGTTGGATGGGGGAAAAGAAAAGAAGACACACAGAGAGAGACAAAGAGACAGAGAGAGACAGACACACACAAAGAGGCAGAGGGAGAGAGAGAGAGATCAGCTAGTCAACATGCACACAGAACTACAGCTTTGTACTTGATGGTCTAAATCATAATTTTTACCTGTAAGGCTAAGGAGATATGGCTCACTCACTGAACAGAGCCAGCATGCCCGAGGCTGGCAGTGCAGGGGAGCACATTCCCCAAAGCCACCTCAGGACACAAAGTGCCTCAGGACACAAAGGCTCTTGCCACAGCCCAAGGGGGATCTTCCTCTGTCCTTGCTCTCTCAAGGGCCTTGGGACTTTGCAAATCTACTTGCCTTGATTTTCTCCTGTCTTTCTAATCCCTTTTGTAACAGTGCTTTTTCAGAAGTCCTTGGGGAAGCTCTCTGACTGCCTTCCCTTGCCTCTCTGCTATCTCTCCATGGCAGTGCCATGCTGCAGCTGATCTTTCCAGCCCCACTTTTCCCTCTGATGTTCAGCCTCCCTCCTGTTGTAAATCTGTGGTATCTCCATTGATTAAAACTTTACAGTCTCAAACATGGTAAAAGCCTTAGCCTTCCTCCAGTGCCAGTTTCTGCCAAGAGTAAGATCCTCCCTCTATTCCAGCTTGAAGCTTTCTGTTGCCTCTGCAAGGCAGGCTTGGATGTTTTTCCCCTTTTCCCACTACTGCTACTCCTCTGGCTCCAGCAGCCTTCAGTGGCTGAGCTTCTCCTCCACATCTAAGCGCCTCCCACTCAGGCTAGCTTAGCCTCCCCTCTGCTACCTGCTCTGCTTCTTGCTCCTGTTCCACCAGTCTCTCCAACGTGTTGCTGCTTTGAGATTCGCTCCTGTTGTCCAAAGTAAAATGAGGGGGAAAAATGGTCCAAACAAACCAGCGTTGCAATATTACTGTTTTGGCTCTCACAACTTGTATGTCCCTGTTGCCTTTAGCTCTTTCGGAAACAAAACAGTTCTCCCCTCCCCATGAACCCTGTTTTATTCATTTAGGGCTATTTAAGCCATGTCAATCTCAAGTGGTTCCAGCAGCTCATGTTCCTTTTAATAAATATCCTTGAATATGTTTATTAAGGGCTGCACCTGGAACCAAAGACAACAGAGATGATACTTACGAGCAACAAAATGTTACTGTCGTTATATATTATTAGCAGCTCTTGCCATTTACACCAGAGGATGCTTCAACCCGTTTTCCCTACTTATATATTTAAATTTCCCCCCAAACCCCCTATTTTTCACAGATTTAAATGTTGTACATATTTACATAGGCACATGTATGTCTCAAATGCCTGGAATTTTCAGATAATTTTGGTGACAGAAATTGCTTACCTGAAATAAACCACCTGAGCTGACCTAAAGTAGCGTCCTAGAGCTGGAGATGAACTGTAGACATCTGCTAACTTGGAGAGAAAAAAGAAAAGAAAAAGAAAAAAGGTGTTTCTTACATGCACTCTCTCTTTTCCCCATGAAAAAGTACAGCAAATCATTCTTGCAAGGTGTTTTAAGGGGCATAAATACAGGTGCTGAAGGTCAAATATCAGCAAATATCTGCCCTGGAAAAGGTACACAATCCATTTCAGCTTGACAGACAAGTTAATCTGTGTGTTTGAGTGATTACTATATTACCTTAACACAATGGAAGCATTCAGGGCGAATTACAAGTACATGCTCATGTTGCCATATGCAATTTATGTTGTTTGGCTTGGGTTTTTGTTAGTACCAAAAAGCTCTTCTACTCTTACTTGGTAGAGGGAAGGATCTCTCTACTGACACTCCTTTCCACAGTAAGTCTAAATCAGTACTGCCATGCCTGCTGAGCTTATTTCAGCCGTAACTCAGAGCCGTGATGGCTCAATGGAAATGGCAGGTATAAGTCTAGGCTGTCATCATGTACTTACAGGATAATGCAACACACAGGATTTTTAGCCAGCACTGGGTTTAGATGACCTTCACAGGCACCTCCTAACCTAAATTATTCAATGATTCTATGAAAAAGGTGAAGACTATGTCCCAACCATTACTCAGTTTTTGGGGGTGTGGGGGGGGTGTGGGGAGGTGGCAATCAGGCTTTTTTTTTTTTTTTTTAATCAATGTAAACTTCTTGTGAGCTTAAAAGCAGATAATTCTTTTTTCTAGATCGGGACTTAAAAATTATACTAAAAACATACAACTCAGAGGTTTTTGTAGACTTGCAAATGACTGAGCTGCTACACAGAGAAACAGAAACTTCTTAAAAGGGAGAACACTGAATCTGTGTTACAAGCAGAATCAGCTTTGCCAAGAACCACATCAACACATACCCTGTTAGTAATGTCTTCAGAGAAAAGGTGTGGGAGACCACATGTTAACTGCAGTGTTCCTGAAAAATTGAGACTATTTCCACTATTTAGTAGTGCATCAGGATCCCAATAGTCATCCTCATCTGTGTAAACATCTAATATTCAAAAGGAGACAGAAAAGGGAGGAAAAAGTTCCAGTTAGAGGAATTATTGAAAAAAACCTGCTTGGCTTTCTCCAGGGTGGCTTTCTCACAAATTTCCTAGGTAACAACTGACTGGGAGTGACAGGAAAAAAGTGCAAGTCACCTGAAGAATAATGACAGCATATGGAGGTCAATCACCGCCCCCCCCCACACCCTTAGTGAAAGTCAGTGGTTTTGGGAGCCTGACAGGCACTGACACCACACAAAGGGACACAAGTGATCCTTTGCACTTGTTGCAGTGTTACAAGCATCATTTCCATCCTCATCCCCGACTCTCTTCTCATAACATTTTCTCACTTAGCTACAAACTGGAACTGCCATCTGATCAGGATACAAGTTGCTTGCTCTCTGCTAAAATAAAAATGTTCACATCCACTACTCAACACACCACCCTCTGCAGTCAGCATCCCAGTCCCTTCAGCAGTTTACAGAAGGAGTTTAAAGGAAGCTACTGTTCCTTTTGTGTTGTATTAAATTGTACATATTCTACACTTTTATTAGAGGACAAACCAAGAGTGAGATACTTACTAGAATAAAGAATTAGGCTGATGAGAATGACCAGGAAGCATACTAGAAAAATTGTAGTTATAACCATCCATAGTTTACACTTCCAGAAAACTACATTCCCGCATGATTTCCAGTGATCTCTCTCCTAGTTACAAAAGGAAGGGGCACGTTGATTAATGTAATAAGGTGGGAAAAATACGTAAGTATGTCTCTACTGTAGCATTTAGAAACAAAACCACCCGCATAGATGGGAGAGCCTCATTGGTAAGCAGTGCCCTATACCAGGGTTCCGACCCTTAATGTTGCAGGTGGGAGCGTAGACCTGCGAAAGGCAAAGGACATTTACAGGCAGGCTATTACTTGAAAGAGATGTATCATGCCCTGTTTGTGCAGAATTTCCAATTCCTGAATTGCCCATAAAGCTAAGGTACTACAAGGGTGCTTTCACGGCTGCCAATTTTTTTTTTTTAAACTACTTGGATTTGATCTGCATGTTCCACAAGCTGTCCTTTTAATGTTTGCCATCGCTCCCAACCAAAAAGGTGTCTGTGGAGGAATTTCCAAAATCATCCACCTCTGCGACGTTGATGATATAAGTCTTCATAGCCCCTGGATGCCAGCACCCAAAGCAAGTGGACTGTTATTCATTAGATACTACTGCATTAAAGAACACTGTAAAATATTGAGACTTTTACAGCTGACTCCCTTTTTCTTCAGAGGATTGGAAACTTGAAGGCTGTTGAGTACATTTAAAATATCACCTGTTCTAGGAGATCACAAGGAAACTCTCTTCAAAGAAATTGCTCATATGTGCACATTCATATAGGTGAGAAAGCAGAGGAAGGACAATACCTGACTTTCATTTAATTATTTTTATTAAGATTTAAGACCATGGCAGAAGTTAGTGTTTTATTAGTTACCACAGCAGCACTAATATTTAAAAAAAGAAAGAAAAAAAGGCAAAAAAAAAGCTTAGGTGATGTAGTGAAACAAATGAAAAAAACCCCTCTAACTATTTTGCTCCACATCCAGAAGATTGAAGGACAGGCATGAATTCGTAAGAAAGTAGACCAAGCTGCCTTTTTAATTCCTCCTCCTCATCCACTGCAAACCCAGCTATAAACTCCATGTCCTTTTTGATGTTAGTACCAGGTGAGGAAAAGCATATGCTCTAGGTTGTCTGGGCCACACATGTGCTGTTTGCAGGAACTAGCTGCTGGCTGGAGGCACTAACCCAGGTAACCTTCCTTTACATTTTTGAACTTTCTAAGAATCCAGCATACTAGAAAGCCTTTCACTGAATTTAACTGACATCCACCAGCTGGCTTAAGGCTTCTTTGGGGGTGGCAGATGAACAGGGGGAGAAAACAGACACCCACAGAGAGATCTTACAAGAGTCATTTCTCCAGGAGCGGGGGCAGAGAAAGGGAAAGTGCTCTCTGCAGACACCCCTACACAGAGAACTTTGCTTTGGTGGAGAATGAAGGGCAAAGGCTGAATATGGTTTTCCTTACAGCGTGCTTTCAGGTGTAATCATGTTTACCTATGTATGTTTTATTTGATTTTTAAAATGTATTAGAAGAACAAAGCTTCAATTTAATACTTGACACTAGCATACTGGTTTGTATCTGAAAAAAGAAAAAAAGCCAGTAACTACTGCCTAGAGTACAACTATGAAATCAGACATAGTAATAGCAATTGAGGCAGACAGTTACCAAGCCCAGGTTTCAATTGAGTCACATATTTAGACCATGACAAAAGTGTCATTCTCAATCATGCATAGCAAACTGTCTTGATCTCAAGCAAACATTCAGCTCACCAAATATTCCCTACCAGATGGGCCAACACCCTCTGGACATTGCCCATATACGTCACAAGACTGCCGGGAGGGAGCAGCAGCAGAGAAAATCTCTCCCCGGTGGGCAGGGCAGTTCTGATAAACCTGTCACCCGAGCAGGAAACAGAGCATAATAATTTTTCCAGTGGTCCCTATAGGATAGGAAGCCCATTGCCAGAATCAGCAGAAACAGAGCCCAAATGAAAATTCAGTTCTGGGAAGGGGAAGTCTAAACAGAAACTTGAGAGTAAAGTTTCTCAAGATAGCTGAGCGGATCTAGCTCACCCCTGCCTCTCCTCCACCCTCTCCTGTTCCTCTTTGCACCTCCCTAGAATTTGTCTGACCCTGCAGCAAGCTGTTCAGCTTAGCAGACCAGCAGAGAAGTAACTGGCCCCTGATAGAGTAAATGTTTTTTTTGCCTAGCCAATGGAATAAATCAGCCCACAGACATCATCAGTGGGGCTCACATGAGGAAACAGTTCCTGTTGCTTGGCCAGGAGGAGGAAGGGAGGGGTGGCATGACTAATAGGATAAGCTCTGGGGAAGGCTCAACCATCCCTACAGAAAAGTGGGAAACTTCTTGGATCTGCCAGAGATCTTGCCTCTGCTCTTGAGTAAGTAATGAAAATCATTGTACAACAGTCGCCTGTGAGTGTATGTTACTCCTCTGTCAGCATTAGTCTGTTCCATAGCTTTAAGCTAAACTCTGGGAGATACCTCCCTCAGGACTCACATGCTGATCTTAATGAGGCTTTGGGGCACTCTATTAAAAAAAATTCATCATTGTTAGCAACTGCAAATTACTCAAAAATAAAGAGAGAGAGAATCCAGCATGGTCTGTTGCAGGACATTCTATTCTTGTTTTGGCAATGCTGTTTTCTGATTAATTTGTTCTGAAAGAAAGCCTGGTTTTAATATGGGTTTCAACTTTTCTTTCTGGTTTTGAGCCCAATCCCACTGACAGCACAAGAGAAGAGAAAGCAAAACTCAGAGTAGCAATTACAACTTCATTTCCTAAGTTAAAGTTCACAAACAGCCAAGCACCAAAAAATAAAAAAGCTTAAAATCCCATAAACTCCAATATTAGAATACTTAATAGAAAAGAAATAAGTTTAACAGGTTTTCAGCTTTTACTTTCAAGGGAGTAACCTTTCCCTCTCCCTCAAATGACAAATTAAACCACCCTTACAAGATGTGTCATTTCTCTTACTGCGTGGTATTTTGCCCAAAAGCAAGCATCAAACAACAAGTGAAATTCCTACCTTTCTTGTTTGAGTAGTTAGAGGCTTGTCATGATCAGCCTCACTTTCCTCCACATTATCTTCTTGTAATTCAATAATCTCATGCTCCTGACCAGAGCTTTGCCTTTTCATAGTTTCTGTCTCTGCACCAGGACCTCTGCCTCTGAAGCAAGCACGGAGGCGACTCATTTCCTTCTGGTTTCAGCAGCAGTTATGGTCAGTAGCAGTTGTGGTATCAGGCTGGAGAGAGTAACAGTGAGAGTTGGGATAGTTTTCACAGGAGTGATCTCAAAACACCGATAAATAAGGGCACTTCCTTGAAAGGGCAAATAATGTTGTCAGCACTAGCTACAGAGAAACGGGAGGCGGAGGAAGTATCAATTTGCCTAATTGCCAGAACTACAGCCCTCAGCTGTGCAATACTAGGTTTTCCAGTTTGTCTACCTTACTGTACCAGCCCATGAGAAACACAAGCAGGTGACTAAACCTTCAGCAATGTTGTCATTTGCTGAGGCAATTTTGAAAGGAACCAGATTGCTTTCCCTGCTACTGTCAGCTGAAACAGTAACATACTATTGCTGTTACCTGTGCAGATGAAGAAAGAGATGTGGTTCTGAACAGCATAAACCAAGTGAAGGATCACATATCTTGTGGTTCGGTTAGGCTGTGAGGGAAAGTTATACTATCCATCAACACTTCCAGTTTTCGTCTTCTTATATAGTCAATAAAGAAATGAATGCTACTGACCTTTGTGCCGTGAATTGTCTTCTCTAGCTGTTATGTAGCCTAAAATCACATTTGGTGTTAAACCTCCATTTATGTCTATTCACACACTATCCAACATAAACATGAGAAGCCACTTCCATGTCAAAAAAACAAAAGGACAAATCTGAACAGAGGAAGAAGGTATCCTTCAATTTCAGCCTGTGGTCTACAGGGCATGGTTTTATGAAGCAAATCATGATGTGAGTTGAGATCTGGTCTGCCCTAGCTTCCCACATGAACTCTCCCGTGCTACTTAGAGTCACTCATAACAACTTACTGCAGCCAGGGGCTGATTCGTCCTCCCACTCCCCCAGTATCCTTCATCTTACCTCCTCTCATTTCTCCTGTTCCAACTCCATCCTTGTGTTTCTCCTTCCTCCCCACAGAGCACCTCTCTCTCCCGTCTGGATCAAAAGGGTTGGGCAGGCAGCTTGTAACTGCACTCTTCTCACTGTCTTGACCCAGCACAGAGAGGATCATGCATTAAGAGGAAAACAAAACCTCTTTCTCCAATTCCCTCCCTTGCTGGCTGAGCATCCACTCACAGCACTGCTCCTTCTTTTTCCTGCCAAATGCTGAGGATGTTTTTCCTCCCCCCAGATTTTCCCGTTGTGCAACTCATCTGGCTACTGACGCCTGGAGCATTCCTGGGGGTTCAGATTCCTGATGTTGTATGTCAGTCACCCAGGCAAAGGCACTCCTTCAAGCTGATCGCACAGCTTGGTTTCATTCAGTGAATAAAAAGAAATACAAATTGCATACCGCACCTTTTGGTTCTGGAAAATCCTTAAAACTCTGGAGGACTGAGGATGAAGCCGAGTAGTCATCAAGATCCAAAAATGCATCTGGATCCACAAGACTTTACCTGGGACCTCTTCACTAGAAAAAGCCTTTACCTACTGGTTCTCAGTATTCCTGCTGGAGATGAGCTTCATTTATTTCATTTCAACTATCAGTAAAAGACCTTACCTTCCTACTGAATTGTCTGAATCCAAAACAGTTTTTCTAAGTCAAATGAGTTAATGATTATGTATCTCACCCTGCAAAAGCCAAAGTCCTTTCATTTATATCTGTGAAGGAGCTCCTTACAAGGTCTTGAGTTTCTTTCGCCTGGGTGATCCAACTCCCACACTTGATGCCCCTCTTGCATGTGACGTAGCTGACCCTTCTGATGCATGGAGCTGAGAAACTCAAAGAAAACAGGAAGTCAAGAACTGATGTGAACTTTCTGGCTTAGGATTTTGTCTAAAACAGAACAGCAGGAAAAATGTTTTCTTCCGTAGTGAAGACATCGCTGGTTTCACTATAAGGAAAAGAAACTTGTGCCCTTAAATGTGCACTTTAGTAAAGCGGGCAAGTTAGACTCAGTTTACAAAAAGAGGAAACTCCAAGGTACAAATGTAGTTCTGATTGCACCTGGGGATTAGAGTTTCAGAGGCACAAACAAATGAATAAAACATAGCCACTTGCATTTTTAGCATGTGTTTATTAAAAAGGAAGATGTGAATGACTGACTAGCCTTTAAAGACACTAAACCCCCTAAAATACAGGCTTTGAGTATAGCTTATGCAGTAAGTTTGATACAAGCATCGTGCGGGAGGGAAATGCCCAACACTAGTGCAAGGAAGGAAAAGCAGCATCCATCTTGGACACGGGAATCTCACTGCATGAAGATTACAGTGCTAGCTCATTCCAGTGTTTTCCCCATGTGCTGCCAAGGTGGGTCTAAACTAAACAATGGTCACATATTTATGTACTGTGTAATGAAAGCATGCTGTGTGGACAGCAGTGACTGGTATTCAAATTGCCAGCTTAATTTTTTTTTTTTTTAAATACATTAAAGGTGAAAGCTAAACAATTCCAAATACTGAGCACAATTTTAAGACCATCCAGACAGATCATAGAATCATACAATGCTTTGGGTTGGAAGGGACCTTTAGAGGTCACCTAGACCAACCCCCCTGCAGTGAGCAGGGACAACTTTAACCAGATCAGGTTGCTCAGAGCCCCATCCAACCTGACCTGGAATTTTTCTGGGGATGGGGCCTCCACTACCTCTCTGGGCAACCTGTTCCAGTGCTTCACCACACCATTGTAAAAAAATGTCTTTCTTATGTCTAGTCTAAATCTATTCTTCTTTAGTTTAAATCCATTATTCCTTGTCCTGTCACAACAGGCCTTGCTAAAAAGATTGTCCCCATCTTTCCTATAGGCCCCCTTTAAGTACTGGAAGGCTGCAATAAGGTCTCCCTGGAGCATTCTTTTCTCCAGGCTTAACAACTCCAACTCTCTCAGCGTGGCCTCGTAGGAGAGGTGCTCAAGCCCTCTGATCATTTTGGTGGCCCTCCTCTGGACCCGCTCCAGCAGGTCCATGTCCTTCTTGTGCTGAGGGCTCCAGAGCTGGACGCAGTACTCCAGGTGGGGTCTCACCAGAGCAGAGTAGAGGGGCAGAATCACCTCCCTCGACCTGCTGGCCACACTACTTTTCATGCAGCCCAGGATTCAGTTGGCTTTCTGGGCTGCAAGTGCACATTGCCAGCTCATGTCCAGCTTTTCATCTACCAGTACTCCCAAGTCCTTCTCCGCAGGGCTGCTCTCAATCCCTTCATCCCCCAGCCTGTACTGATATCGGGGGTTGCCCTGTCTGAGGTGCATGACCTTGCACTTGGCCTTGCTGAACCTCATGAGGTTCACACAGGCCCACCTCTCCAGCTTGTCCAGGTCCCTTTGGATGACATATTCTGGTGTGTCAACTGCAGCTTGGTGTCATCTGCAAACTTGCTGAGGGTGCACTCAATCCCACTGTTTGTGTCATTGATGAAGAAGTTAAACAGCACTGGTCCCCATATTCACCCCTGAGGTACTCCACTTGTCACCGGTCTCCATGTGGACATCGAGCCATTGACCATGACCCTCTGGATGTGACCATCCAGCCAATTCCTTATCCACCAAACAGTGCACCCATCAAATCCATATCTCCCCAATTTAGAGAGAAGGGTGTTGTGGGGGACTGTGTCAAAGGCTTTACAGAAATCCAAGTAGATGACATTTTTTTTTGCCTTGTCCACGGATGTAGTCTCTCCTTCATAGAAAGCCACAAGGTTGGTCAGGCAGGACCTACCCTTGGTGAATCTGTGCTGGCTGTCTTGAATCAACTCTCTGTCCTCCATGTGCTTGAGCATATCTTCTAGGAGGATCTGCTCCATGATCTTCCCAGGCACAGAG